CTGTGGGAGGGAGAGAGACCTGGGTTATTACATATCCAGGAGAACGCTAAACTCGCAGGGGCCATACAGAGCCTTCCAAAAATTACACAAGTAATCAGGCTGGATCGGAGGATGGATTATAATAATAATAATAATAATAATAATAATAATAATAATAATAATAATAATAATAATATCTTTATTACTACCAGTACATGTACAAGGTATACAGACCATAGTTGACATCAATGACATACTACTATATAGAAAGCCCCTTGTTATTAAGTAAGTGAGTAAGTTTATTCAGATATACACAAATACAGTTACATAGAATTATCATACATAGCAGCATATGTGTAGAGAACCTGGGATAACCCAAAAAAGTCAGACAGAGTGACTTATTTCCATTGGGGTCCTGAGCATTTATTGCAGATTAGGTCAATTTTGTCCCAGGATGCGACCCACACCAGTCCACTAACACTCAGGTACCTATTATTACAGATGGGTGAACACAGACAACCGGTGTAAGGAAACACGTCCAATGTTTCCACCCGCGCTGGGAATCGAACCCGCACACTCACTGCGTGAAGCGAGAGCTTTACCTACCAGACCACGGGGCACTAAAATACGAACTACCTAATGTAAATTTATTTTTAATTATTTCTCCATTTCAATAATTTATTGATGTCCACAGTTCTGGCATCAATTATGTATACTGAATTGATGTGTCATGATTTGACTTAGAAAGTTTTACATATATAGTGCAAAAATTGCGAACAAACGATACAAGATGCAAAAACAACCACGGAGGAGTTGAATGATAGCTCTAGGCCTCTCTGCAATAAACACATCATCAGGAGCTTGCAGTGTTGCAGGAAAGAGGAGGATGTCCCAGCAAATACGATCACAGTAAACACCTTGGAACCTCCTCTTTTCTGCAAAGCTCCTGATGATGTGTTTATTGCAACACGAGAGGCCTAGAGCTATCATTCAACTCCCCCGCGGTTGTTTTTGCATCTTGTATCGCTTGTTCGCAATTTTTGCATGATATATGTAAAACTTTCTAAGCCAAATTATGATATATCAATTCAGTATACATAATTGATGCCAGAACTGTGGACATCAATAAATATTTCAACATCAATATATACAATCCACATATAATGACCCTTTATTAAGCAATGAATTTAAGGTAATTGATGGCTAATTTATTTTCGTTCACCTCTTTGTAAGGTTCGAATTCTGGGAAGCAATTACTTGGTAGACACGTCGGCCGTTTCCCACCATGGCAGGTGAGTGGAAAAAGAAGACACACTCATCATTATTCACTCCATCACTGTCTTGCCAGAGGCGCGCTTACACTACAGTTATAAAACTGCAACATTCACAGCCTTCCTTCAGAGTGCAGACACTGTACTTCCCATCTCCAGGTTTCCCTGAATCTCTTCATAAATATTACCTTGCTCAGCTCACACTCCAACAGCACGTTAAGTCCTAAAAACCATTTGTCTCCATTCGCTCCTATCCAACATTATCACGCATGCCTGCTGGAAGTCCAAGCCTCTCGCACACAAAACCTCCTTTACCCCCTCCCTCCAACCTTTCCTAGGCCGACCCCTACCCTGCCTTCCCCCCACTACAGATTTATCTCCCCTCCAAGTCATTCTATTTCCTTCCCTCTATATATATGTATATATAGATGGTGTTCATACAAGAGATGATCTTCATTTGTCTCACCAGATGATTGACTGACTTTGACATTTCGTTCAGATTATAAAGTCATAGTCAAAAATGTCAGGAGTTTTCGGACGTGAAACTGGTCAGTTAAATCGCTTTTCATGTCCCAGAAATTATCATGTATGTTTTGATGGAGTTATAAAATCTCAGAATAAATTTGTGTTTTATTAGTGTTAGGTTGGTGAATATGATAAAGGGACACTATATCATTCCTTTTGCATGAACTAAAGTGAAGGAGGCTGGGCTTGTGAGATACAGGGATATCTTTCTCGGATCGCGCATCGACTGAAGTACATCTGTCTTGGATAACGTTTCACTTATAGAGCTCTATACAACTCTATACAGAGCCAAACGTTGTGCATTTCTCTTCATGCAAGCAGTTGAGCTCTTGTGATGATAGTAGTTTGTGAAGCGACGTTGATATTCATTTACCAGGAAGAGCAAGTTAGGTGTACACTGTGGGTGTGGCTACACAGATCCATGATGCCAGTGTTTGCCTTACCTGGCCACACAAAATTACCGTGAAGTTAACCAAAAATTGGTTAAATCGGCTTTGTGCACCAACTGGACTCCTCCATGTAATAAGACTATGGAGTAATAAGACCTGGAGTTTACCTGGAGAGGGTTTCGGGGGGTCAACGCCCCTGCGGCTCGGTCTGAGACCAGGCCTCATGGTGGATCAGGGTCTGATCAACCAGGCTGTTGCTGCTGGCCTCACGCAAGCTGATGTACGAACCACAACCCGGTTGGTCAGGTACTGACTTTAGGTGCCTGTCCAGTGCCTTCTTATAGACAGCCAGGGGTCTAGTGGTAACACCTGCTGCTACTCTGTTGACAGTTACACTGTGGATCAGAAGATACCTATATTCCCCTCTCATAAGATGGAGTGTCTAAGAAGGTATTGATTTAATAATAATAATATTTGTCTCGCGCCGCAACACAGTGGTATCTTAGTATAGTGGATATCTTCACCTTGGTCGCTCAATCATTCGTTATAAGTGAGTACTTGATATGAGGATCTGCCTAATATGGACCAGTAGGACGTGTTTGGAAATAAATGGTATAAAATACCGACACAATGGCAATATAAACACAAATGCAGTATAATGTGATCCTTTATTGACTACTTTCGCCCACACAGTGGGCTTTTTCAAGTCACAAACAGAACTACCTGGGGTGGAAGGAACGCGAGTATTTATAGTCCGGCTGAGGTCAGGTGAAGAATGCTGCATCTGATGATGTACCGAGTTGGGTTGTAGAGTCTAAAAACTTGGGTAGCTTGGAGAGGAGACTGGACAAGTTTGTGAGCAGACCTTCTACAGTGTTCTTATGTGGGATAGCGATGAAGAAGTTTCTTGGCAAGTGGTTCAGCTATGTTATAGAAGCCACTATCCGACAACTTCAACCAGAATAGTGGCTTCTATAACATAGCTGAACCACTTGCCAAGAAACTTCTTCATCGCTATCCCACATAAGAACACTGTAGAAGGTCTGCTCACAAACTTGTCCAGTCTCCTTTCCAAGCTACCCAAGTTTTTAGACTCTATAACCCAACTCGGTACATCATCAGATGCAGCATTCTTCACCTGACCTCAGCCGGACTATAAATACTCGCGTTCCTTCCACCCCAGGTAGTTCTGTTTGTGACTTGAAAAAGCCCACTGTGTGGGCGAAACGTAGTCAATAAAGGATCACATTATACTGCATTTGTGTTTATATTGCCAGGACGTGTTTGCGTAAGACACCTTCTGTCCGTGTTCACTCAGTAGTAAAATAGGTACCTGGGTGTCAGTGGGCTGGTGTGGGTCGCATCCTGGGACAAAACTGACCTAATCTGCGGGAATTGCTCTGCATAACAAGAGGCTTTCTATATAGCAGTATGTCATTGATGTTAGCTATGGTCTGTATAAGTTGCACATGTACTTAGATAAAATTATTATTATTATTATTATTATTATTATTATTATTATTATTATTACTGGTGAAATGTTTCTCAGTACGTATTGTCTTACTTCTACTAGAGTGCTCCGCTTCTAGTACTAGAGTGCTCCGCTTCTAGTACTAGAGTGCTTCGCTTCTAGTACTAGAGTGCTCCGCTTCTAGTACTAGAGTGCTCCGCTTCTAGTACTAGAGTGCTCCGCTTCTAGTACTAGAGTGCTCCGCTTCTAGTACTAGAGTGCTCCGCTTCTAGTACTAGAGTGCTCCGCTTCTAGTACTAGAGTGCTTCGCTTCTAGTACTAGAGTGCTCCGCTTCTAGTACTAGAGTGCTCCGCTTCTAGTACTAGAGTGCTCGCTTCTAGTACTAGAGTGCTCCGCTTCTAGTACTAGAGTGCTTTATTCCGCTTCTAGTACTAGAGTGCTCCGCTTCTAGTACTAGAGTGCTCCGCTTCTAGTACTAGAGTGCTCCGCTTCTAGTACTAGAGTGCTCCGCTTCTAGTACTAGAGTGCTCCGCTTCTAGTACTAGAGTGCTCCGCTTCTAGTACTAGAGTGCTCCGCTTCTAGTACTAGAGTGCTCCGCTTCTAGTACTAGAGTGCTCCGCTTCTAGTACTAGAGTGTCCCGCTTCTAGTACTAGAGTGCTCCGCTTCTAGTACTAGAGTGCTCCGCTTCTAGTACTAGAGTGCTCCGCTTCTAGTACTAGAGTGCTCCGCTTCTAGTACTAGAGTGCTCCGCTTCTAGTACTAGAGTGCTCCGCTTCTAGTACTAGAGTGCTCCGCTTCTAGTACTAGAGTGCTCCGCTTCTAGTACTAGAGTGCTCCGTTCTAGTATAGAGTGCTCCGCTTCTAGTACTAGAGTGCTTCGCTTCTAGTACTAGAGTGCTCCGCTTCTAGTACTAGAGTGCTCCGCTTCTAGTACTAGAGTGCTCCGCTTCTAGTACTAGAGTGCTCCGCTTCTAGTACTAGAGTGCTCGCTTCTAGTACTAGAGTGCTCCGCTTCTAGTACTAGAGTGCTCCGCTTCTAGTACTAGAGTGCTCCGCTTCTAGTACTAGAGTGCTTCCGCTTCTAGTACTAGAGTGCTCCGCTTCTAGTACTAGAGTGCTCCGCTTCTAGTACTAGAGTGCTCCGCTTCTAGTACTAGAGTGCTCCGCTTCTAGTACTAGAGTGCTCGCTTCTAGTACTAGAGTGCTCCGCTTCTAGTACTAGAGTGCTCTCCGCTTCTAGTACTAGAGTGCTCCGCTTCTAGTACTAGAGTGCTCCGCTTCTAGTACTAGAGTGCTCCGCTTCTAGTACTAGAGTGCTCCGTTCTAGTACTAGAGTGCTCCGCTTCTAGTACTAGAGTGCTC